TGGGTAGACACAGCCTCGTCACTTGTACTTAGGGAATAATGTGAAGTTTTCCTCTGCTGCTCATTCATGTGCGTTTCTTTTAGGTATTTATATTGTTACCCTTGAGTTCTTTTTAAAATGATTGATTTGGTGCATTTAAATCGATGTCTTATTTTCCACGCCCAGATTACCTTTTTATAGTGTCTGGTTAGAGGCAAATGGATAGAATCGAATCACTCAGGAGTCATAAAAACTTTAACCTTTTTCCCCTTTAATGAGTGTCATATAAAGCCATTGATACTTGACTGATTTATGAATAACGTTCATGGACATTTTTTTTCTTTTACAGAAAAATTTTGTGCCTGATACATTTTTGAGGTGGAATGATTATAAGTTTATAGATAAATGAAAATCTTAGTATGACGCACATCACTTGGTTTCTAAGGTTGCTTTTCTTTTGGAATCGTGTTGATACAAAAACGCAGCACATTCGATAAAAACCTGCTACATTAGGAAGTTTGCTGTGAAAGGTTTATGGAATATTATGGGGAAACAATTGCTATGAAATACTTGTGGAATATTATGGGGAAACTGTTAAGTCTCCTTTTGGAGTTTCTTAGGTTTTAAAATTCCTATGTTCTCTTTTAACTAGCTTGCTGTTATTAAATTAAAAGTTTTAAGAGAGCCAGGAATTGATGGTTATTTAGGATGTGCTCCAAACTCAAATATAGTAAACTCTGGCTTACCTATGCAGTATTCTAGTTGTGCTGTCTGATATGGCAGCTGCTAGCCATATATGCTTTTAAATTAAAATTAATTAAAATTAAAGTTGAGATCCTCAGTCACACTAGCTACATTTCAAGGGCTCAGTAGTCCCATGTGGCTAGTGGTTACCCTATTGGACCTTGAAGGTATAGAAAGTTCTATTGGACCTTGATAGTCTAGAGATAATTCAAAATAGATAATAAGCCCCCAACAATTTCTTTTTAGTTTTAGAATAATATCTAATGAGTGTTCTCACCCACCCATTTCCTTCCTCACAAGGCTTTGCTTAGTTTATTGCTAAAATAGTTATCTTCTTTGAATACTCCCCAAATGATAGGAGGCAGGATAGAGTTGATAGAAAAGGACGCTTATTGTATTAAATTTGGTTCAGATAAATGGGTAATCTGAATGCAGAAAATACACAATTAATACTAAAAAAGCCCTGGTAGATTCACAGAATTTTAGATTTGAAAAGGACCATTGATTGCATCCAATCAAGCCTTCTTATTTAACTGATGAGAAGTTTGAGGAACAGAGAGGTTAAGTAATTTGCGTTAAGTCACACAGCCAGGCGGTGGCCTTGTTACCGCTTACTCTCCCAAGTTCACTGGTCTTGTCATTGGGCTGAGACAACTTTTGTAAGAAGTTCCAGTGCTATAAATCTGTTGTTCATCATCTGTGGAGACAAGAGGAGCCAATTATAGTAGGATTAACTTTACACAAGGTCACAGAGTGTATTGTAAAAAACAGGAAGTTACCCTTTAAAAACCCAGTCTTCTGAGCCCTCTTTTAATGTCTTTGAAAAAAATGCTGCTTTCATTAATAGACACTTTTACTTTTGGTCTTGAAATAGTATATATTTTAAGAATCAAAAGGAAATATGCTTCCTTTTAAAAATATCCTTTTTTGGGGTTAGGGTGCTATAGTTAGGAAAAGGATTTGCTTTTTAAAATCCTGTTTTTATTTTGCAAAGCTTATGGGTCAACTGTTGCCAGTAAGATTTGCCCCCCCAAAACTCTGTTGAAAGTAACTTTCTGTGAAATGGTTTGTCATTCTCATATTTAATACATTTTCTCCCAGAATTTATTTCCATCGTGCTGCATAGGTCCCATTAGTTGCTGAGAGCTAGCTGTGGAAAGAGAAGTAATTTATTCTAGGAACCTGACTCCCTGCTGTGAAAAGATTGCATTTTGTTAATACTGGGAGATTCTCATGTTGTTTCCAGAGTGTTCTGTGGATTATACCTTTCAAATGCCTCCTGAACTTGTTACCTTCCTTTCTCCTCTTCGTCTTGGTTCAGACCTCCAGCTGTTTGCTCTTGGTTGTAGTCTGTCTGTTTCCATTCAGTCTTCCCCCTGTCTGTCCCTCTGTCTGGCGTATGGCTACTGGAGTGATTTTTGTAGAACAAATCTGATCATTTCACTTCCCAGAATGAAATCCTGCAGTGTCTGCTTCTACCTGCAGAGCGAGATGCAGATTCAAGTCCTTATTTTGGCAAACCGTTCTCTTCTCATGGCAGTGGGGTTCAGCCGGCTTCTCCATTTGCACCCTTGAGTCTACGTTCAGATACGCTTTCTCAGCCTTTCCTGACCCTCATCTGAATCATCCTCACCCCTCCCCTCACTCACCCGTATCTTCTTTCTTATAGCACTTTCTCCAAGTAACGTACTATATAATTTACTAATTGCTTTGATTTCTTGATGTTTTCCCCCGTTAGGATGTGATCTCTATCAGGGCAGTCTGGTATTTTGTTTGCTCCGGTGTCTCACCTCCCATCTTTCTCCTTCGGTTGTATGCCCTTCTCCCCTCCAAGTTCTCAATAATTTTCCCAGGTGGGTCACCCGGTGGAGGGCTGCGAGGAAGCCAGAGTTTTCCAGTGTGCCGCCATCTTCCTTCTCCTTTGCCCAGGCCTCCTTGCTGCCCCTGGAGTCGGCTGGTGTTGGATCCTGCCTAAGTGACAGAGTGATCCTTAAACTCACAACCACAGCCCCTGTCATTGTGGGTGGGGTGTGTGTTTCACCCTCTGAGCTATCCAGTGCTCATGAGGATGAGCCGACACGCAGGGGAGCCTGTTGATTGTTGGGTGTTTGGTTGGATGGCCTCAGGTGCTCATCAACAGGTGGTTTCTCTGCAGATTGCATCAGCGATTGCTGTTATTTACCAGTGGCAATAGAGATAAACTGCTGAATACTGCTCTGCCTGTGAAATCCAGCTTCTCCCTCTGCTGTGTGCAGCCCATATGGGGAGGAAATCTCTAGAATTGTGAAGGAGTGCTCTTAGGAGAATGCAGTTCTGCCCATCAGCATGTGGGTTATTTTAGCAAACTGATGTCTGTTGGGTGAAATTAGCCAGCCTCAACATTAAAATGCCAGTCTGCCAGCGTCCTCCATTTTAAATAATTTTAGAATCCGTCTATCTGTTAAATGAGTTCCTTTATTTGGGGGTGTTTCCAACGAAGCTTTCAGAACTCAGCTCGTCAAACGATTGGCTAGTGGTGTGGATAACTTCATATTTTTTCATTATTTAAAAAACCCCAGTTTCTATTTAGGTTTAAGTCATTCCTGTATACACCCTACTTTCTTACATTGTCTGTTTTGGGATGTACTAGAGGGCTGAGATGGAGACTCTTTTATCCGTTTTCTCTGTTTACCCCGCATAGTGCTACAATGAGCACGTGGAAATGGGTCTTTCGTCCTGGTATTTACCTATCGTTTATGTGATTTTTAAACAAACCAGAGAAACTATTTTGTACCCAGTACTCTGCCTTTTAACCCTGGCTCTCACATTTTCCGGAATAGCGCTGATTTAAATTATTTGTATCGTTGATCTTAGCTTCTACTCCTCAGACCGTGTGCCCTCATTATTGCTTCAGAAAATATGAGAAGCCCCTGTGCGCAGAGAGTGTTCGATGAATAAAAGATCATCTCCTAGTTGTTTGCAATTGCCCTATATATTTGATTGTCATTTTATTTGCTTATTCGTGCACGGATCTTTGTAGTAAGATGCCTAGATTGCTGTTTAATGAACCAGTCTAGATCTTTTTATAGTTTCTGTTCTAGAATAGTTATTTTCTCTCTCTGTATTCTGATTGAGAAGTAGCTTTGCATCCTCCCCACGGTGTCTGGGATAGCATTGTATATGGGCAGCTGGATAAGTACGTGCTGAATTAAATTCCAGTGCTGCGTAGCCGGTGCGTTTCCAGTCTCCAGTAAGGAATATTACTCCTTACAGCAGAAATATTCAAACTTCTTCTTGCTGTTGCACAAATGATTAACACATTCTTTCATGAACCTCTAATTTTGACAAAAATCTCAAAATGTTTTCCAGAAAAGTAAACTGAACAGCACCCAACAGGATGTGTGTGTTTCTGTGTGTGTTTTAAGAAGGGCACGGCATTCTTAAAAGATAGTTTTCCAGTATGTGAGTGTCAGAATGTCCCATTTATAGGTGTAGATGCACCATCCTTTCTTTTCTTCATCTATCCTTGCTCCTTTGCTGATTTCAAGTTTTATCTACATGTGAAAGAAAACCAGACACTGACTGAATGAGAAATTTAAAGACCCCACGTGGCTGTGTCTGACCACCAGAGCTGTGCATGGCTGACCCTCAGTAAGGACCACACCTGGGCCTTTCATGGGCTGTTATGTAAACGAACCAGATTGTAGGGTTCTGTGAGAACCGGCTGTAATTTTACCTGTTTTTCCACCAGTCATGTGAGAACACAGGTGTGGAATAGCCGTGCTATTATAGGAAAAATCAGAGGGGACAAAAAGCACGTTATGTGCAAATGTTGATACTTTAACCGGGTTTGGTAACAAATTGCTTGGGACACACCAGACGTCTTCCCTGCGTGTGGGGATGCTGAGGCCGGGGAGGGCTGGCTGCTTCACAGCATTGAGTGAGAGAGGAGGAAACCCGCGGCAGAGTGTCTTGTCATCGATACCAAAGTAGATTGGGGGTTAAAACGTAGATTCTATTTGGTGAAAAGTGTGTCCGTCTTAGTGGTGATAATTACCTTTAGCAAATTGATGGTTTTGCTATGCTGTGACCTTCGTTGTTGGCCTTGTGTAGACATGTACCGTTTAGTCTTTATTGCTGAAATTTTCCGTTATCAACACTACATCGCGTCCTGCGTGTGATAATGAAATGGTAGGAACTCCGATAGGATGCTGATATTTTTGGAGAGTTTCAAAACAAATGAATATAATTAAAGTGCTCTGATCTTTTTTTTTTCTTTCTTTCTTGGTTACCCTTAGGTAATTCTTCCTGCAGGATGAATTAAGAGAAGAGGATCCTTACTCTTTAGGAATGGAGAGCAGTCTGTCAGTTTCCAGGATGCAAGACCCTTCATCTTCACCCTTGGAAAAACATCAGAGCTCAGCTAATGGAAATGGAGATCTTGATTCAGGTAGGATTTTGTTTTTTGAATCCGTTTGTCGTTTTGATTTATTGGTCAATATCTTTCTGAAAATGTTCAGGAAATAGTGGGGCAACAATTTCTAGATCTCACATACTGCCTGTTCCTAGGATTTGTTGTCATATGTATAAGCATATAGCAGCTTGAAAGTTATGCAAAATTTGGTTTGAAATTAGTATTACCTATATATCAAAATTAATACTACCTATTACTTATGTATGTAAATATAGTGTGGGCTAGGTTATAATGGGGTGACAAATCACTTCGAAATCTCAATGGCTTAGCACAGTAATTGTTTATAAATCATTCACACTGTTTCGGACAGCCTCTGAATACTGTGACTCTGAATTCACCCAGTCATTCCACACCCTCTCACAGTGCACCACTTGATGTAGTGCCGCAGGGTTTGTCATTACAGGCATAAGCAGAGCTGGAGTGTCTTGAATCAGCAATTAAATGCTCTAGCTCAGAAGAGACAGGTGTCACTTCTGCTCGGAACCTCTTGAACCAGTCACGTGTTTCTGACAGTGCGAGGAGGCCAGGAAATAGAAGTCTCTCTCATGTGCCCAGGAAGAGAGGAGAGCAGGATCTGCCCAGGCATTAGATGCTGCTGCCTGAGACCCTCTCCAAAACCTCCACCACGTCTTTCAGAAAAGGGCATCATGTGAAAAACTCAGGTCATGTGAATTTGTGGCAAGGTATTTCTCCGTTTAAGAAATCTAAAACCGAACCAAACCAAACCAGTCTTTGATAGAATTTTATGTTTAACCAGTGAATTTATAAATGCGTCTTTTTCTGAATACTTACAGAATAGAATTTATTTTAAAAAGAAAAAAATTTTTTAAAAGGATTGCACTATTTACATAACAGCTAATTAAATAAGGACAATTTAGGTCTCAGAATCAGAGACACTCGGCTGTGGTGAATTCATGTAAAAAAAAGTTGATCATTAATTTGGTGGGAGATTTGACCATTGTCTAAAAGTTATGAGATTTTTCTTCACATTTTGATGAGACCCAGAATTACAGATGGCTTGATGTCATTGAATTTGTTCGGTTAAGTTTCTCAAATTATATCTGTATCTGGAATTATCTAATCTGGAAAAAATCTGGAAAACCCTGAAATACTTGCCTAAATATGTTGAAAGGTGTTAGTATCTGTTTCAAAATCAGCCCAGTTCTCCTCTTTCATTGTAGAAGCGGGAAAACTTATCTTAAAAGGAGAGCTGAACCCTTGTCTCCCAGTAGGAATATGGAAATTCTTTTTCTGAGAGAGCGTAGTCTCATAGGCTGAAGGTTCACCCTAATTATTCTACTTTTATTTATGTATAAATACGTCTTAAAAAGTCTTTCTGATGTTTGCCGAGTGGGGTTATTTTTCCACTTTAGGAATCCCTGAGCTTTCTCCGTGTTTCTGTTGTACACACGTCTGACGTGTGTTACTGCATCATTTCCAGTGGTGTGTTTTCAAAATGGTTTAAGAGCCAACTGTGTTGACTTATCGTTTTCGCGCAACTGCAGTATATCTCTCTAGCTGAGGTAGATTCTGAAACTCATTAATAATCATACGGTGTCAGGAGAATTATTTGCAGTGACTTTCCTGGTGGCTAATTCAATGAATGGGAAGTGTGAGCACCACTTCTTTTTTTTTTTTTTTTTGGTGAGGAAGATTGGCCCTCAGCTAACATCCATTGCCAATCTTCCTCTATTTTGTATGTGGGATGCCGCCACAGCGTGGTTTGATGAGCGGTATGTTTGTCCGTGCTGGGATCCGAACCTGCAAACCCTGGGCCGCTGAAGCAGGGTGCACGAACTTAACGTCTATGCCACTGCGCTGGCCCTGAAGCATCACATTTCTTATATGGTTGGCTGGTGTATGCTTTGCAGAAAACCCATCATTTCTTGGTTCGTTCCTTGCTGTTGTGTGATGCAAGGCCTGAATCATCCAAGATAGTAAGATCTTTAATAGAAATAGTTCTAAATATCTCTAAAATTATCTTAACATTTTTCAGATCTTGGCCATGACCTTTTTTTCCCCCCCTATATGGCTAATGGGTCCTTTCTCCCGGAATTTCCATATGTCCTTGTGTGCTCAGGAGACTTGGAGATGGTGCCACAAAGATGGACACTCCTAAAGAGGAAACACATTTACAGCAGGATCTAAAACTTCGTAGAGAGCGAAAGCAGACTTCTAGAAACTCAAATCTGGTTTTGAATATTCAGACTGTTAATAACATACTCAAGTATGAGTCTTCATGTAGTTTATTTATTTTCCCAAGTAGTTCCCTTTTAACTTGTTAACGCATAAATTGTCTTCCGTTCGGGCATCAGTTGTGGGGATATTTGGTTCGGGGACCAACTGTGACATTCGTCGGGCCGGGTGGTGTGTTGGTGCTGAGGGTCTTTTCCCTGGAAGCATTTCAGAGGAGGTTGACATATCGGATGGACAAGAGAAGGCAGATTCAGTGTTCTTCAGCTGGTTTTTAATTGACTTGCAAACGAGGGACGGTAGGTACGGGATCCTGCCTTCACTCTACGTGGCAGACACTCTCTTAGGTGCTTTACGTGTGTTGAGTCCTTTAATCCTCCACAACCCAATGGAAGAACTGCTTTTATTGTCCCCATTTTACAGATGAGGAAACTGTTTGGATGACACAGCAGCATCAGGTGGCTCTTGTGTTCTAGTGGGGATTTCATCCCAGGCGTCTTGAGGCTCTGGGGCTGGAGCTCTGAAACCCTGGGCTGTCCTGCCCTTCAGTGCAGGGAGAAGGCGCCCTGGATACACAAATGCGTGTGCACACACACACACATACACACACACCCTACACACCCCACACCCACACACTTTATGGACACAGGCACAGCCTAGATTCTTTCTTGCCCTCTCCTCCACTGATCTCCTGTCCCCTGTCCCCATGTGTTATGTGACACGTGACTGCGTCTCCCTGATAAGTGACTGCGTTTAAGTGCCTGCAGCTCTTCTCTGCCAGTTACGGGGCCAAAGGATGAAAGTCCAACCTGGTTGCTCCGGGTTGATCTTGTGTCATTCTGTCCCCCAATCCCCACTCTAGGCTGCCGTGATTCCATGCAGAGATGGTCCATCCCTCTGAAATGACAATTTCAGCTTAAAACAATGGACTCTAGTCTCATTCACAGCTTTTTAAGTTTCCCTTTTTGCCTCTTTTCCAAAGGAAAGCTCAACTAATAGTTGGAGTCAGTGACACCGGAGTCCCGTAAATGAAATAGGACAATATAAAATTCCTCCTCCTCCCAGGAGCACTGAGGATGCCCCCGGGATAAGCTCGCCTAGATGCACTGAAGGCTCCTCAGAGGACAGGATAGACAGCGCTGTCACGGGGCGCACAAAGAAGGAAGTGGGCCAAAATTTCATTTCTGGAACTCTAGCTTCTTCAATTGCTGTGATAGAAGCAAGCAAAACAATATGCTGACATAGTGATAAATAGATTCCTTGACATTATTTTTCCACGCCGGCTAAATGTAATTTCCTGATGAAGACTGTAGACAAAGTGGTGTTGTACATTCAGATTGGGCAAGCCTCTGAGTGAAAAGGATTATTCTGGAAACATAGGCTTTTTTTTTTTTTTTTTTGGCATTAGGACATATTAACCAGAATCCTACAGGCTCTCCTATTCTGGAAGGAAAGGGGTCAGCATTCTTATTAGGAAAATTCAGCTCTCTTACTCTTTGTGTTGGAAACCGGTTCCGTGTGACACCATGAAACTCCCTTTTTTTTAAAAAAACTGTCTTTTGAAGAGTTGTTGCTTCCCCTAGCTAGGAGATTGGGTGATTTTTATGTGTTTTCTTTTTTCTGGAAAGTCTGGCCGTCTGAGCAGTTGAGACAGCCACGAGGACCTCCGTGTTCACACCACTGTCCCTTCACTGGGTGTAGTCCTGCAGCCCTGAACTCCGGTCTAGGATTGCAATGGCCAGTCCTTCGGAGTTTCATTCATACTGTGTGTCTGTGGAACTATTTTCCAAACCTTGTGACAGTATGAACTGACTGTCAGAGTTAAAATTACTAAGATTTAGTGTCTTCTTCTTTTCTCTTGCCACATTTAAAAAAAATACCTAGCACACCAGAAGGTGCTCTGTAAGATTTCATGCCTTCTGAACTTGCCGATGCTCCATTCCTTTACTGGACAGTGGTTACCGACTTTAATATGTAGCCTTGCAGGGTCGGCCTGGTGGCGTAGCGGTTAAGTTCGCACGCTCCACTTCAGCAGCCCAGGGTTCGCTGGTTTGGATTCTGGGCGTGAACCTACTCACCGCTCATCAAGCCATGCTGAGGCAGCGTCCCACATAGAAGAGCTACAGTTCTACAACTATGATGCACAGCTATGTACTGGGGCTTTGGGGAGAAAAAGAGAAAGATTGGCAACAGATGTTAGTGCAGGGCCAATCTTCCTCAAAAAAAAAAATTATTGAAAAAAATGCAGAGTCAGCCTTATTTCAGCTTGTAAAATTGTGCAACCCAAGATTTGCTTACTTAAAAAGAGGCCTGTGAGCTGTTTGTTAAATTCCATTTTTCACTGTAAAGTTGCTTCCACGTGCACTTTTAGTAAGGTGTTCTTTTTCTATTTATTACAAAATATTCCGGTCACATAAATAGCTTTCTGTTTTCCAAAACTGGATAGCTGGTAATGAACATGCCTGTTTTCTTTTAAAATGTGAAATTTTCTTTGTAGCCTTTCATGATCTGTTTTCATTACATCATGGGGAAATTGCCTGGGCCTGGTTCATTTGCAGAGGAGGGAGATTGTCAGAGTTTCCTTGATAAAATGTTTATGGGTTTAAGAGGTTTATGAATCAGCTGTAAATATTTGCTCTGGGTTTATGAGACCTCCACTCATAAACATTGTGTGTGTTTATCTATTGCTCATTGAAATGTCTTTAGAGAATCAGCTGCTTGGGGCACATACCCCTGGAGGAAGTGTTAGAAGTCACAGATTGGAAAAGGGCTTATTGTGAGGACCCTAAATTTTGTATATGGTGTTATATATACAAGACAGCGTGTGTGTTAAAACAGCACACTTAAAGTTACCAGTGCTGGGCATAAAGGTTTTGACTTTTAAAATCCCATTCGAGAGGCCAGCCCTGTGGCCTAATGGTTAAGTTCAGTGCGCTTTGCATTGGTGGCCCTGGTTTGGTTCCCAGGCGCCAACCTACACCACTTGTCAGCAGCCATGCTGTGGCAGCAACCCACATACGAAATAGAGGAAGATTGGCACAACTGTTAGCTCAGGGTGAGTCTTCCTCAAGCAAAAAGAGGAAAAGATTGGCACAGATGTTAGCTCAGGGTGAATCTTCCTTAAGCAAAAAGAGGATGATTGGCACAGATGTTAGCTCAAGGTGAGTCTTCCT